TTAAAGAAAAAAGCCAGTATTTCTGGTTGTTGAATTATGATATACCGACCTGTTTAAATATAAAGCTATATATATATATATATATATATATATATATATATATATATATATATATATAATTTCTAGATAGTTAGATAGATAGATAGATAGATAACTTGAATGTGGATTTTTATTTTTTCAAACTGTGGAATGGTCAGGAAAAAATAAGCAAAAGAATTCAGTTGAATTTCCGATTTTGAAACAAAAAAAGATTCTTTCAAAAACATTTTAAACCACCTGTGTTGCTCTTTTCGTGCGGAACATCAACAAAGCCGAGTTCCATTAAATTCTAACGGATGAATCCTGTTACAAGAAATTTTCCAGTTTATCATATATCGCTATCACACACACACACTCTCGCTCTCTCTCTAGATATATACAACCGCGCGCACACACACACACGCATATATATATATATATATATATATATATATATATATATATATATATTATAAATATTATGCGGCCTCCCCAATAGAGGATACGCATGACGTCAAGTAGACCATTTTAAAATTTCAGTTTACCAAATAATATCAGGATGGAAAGTAAGAAATTTAACTACCAAACATAGACTCACTTCGTTATGGCCGATAATATTTGAACAAAAATAACCAAAACATGAATTTCGGAAGTTTTATCCACAACTTTGACCAAAACGCAATATGGGAAAATTGCAAAAATTTTATACAAAATTAAACAGACAGACCTCGGTTATTTTTAATCAAACTTGCTTGAAAATACTTGATGTTAAATATTCAAATATCATATATATATATATATATATATATATATATATGTAATAATCCGTTGGTATTATCCAAGCGATAAAAGCACAATATACAATTTTGAATATTAAATAGTGAATGTTAAAACTGACTCACAAAGAGCGTCGAATGTTTATTTATATTTAACAGATTAATATACTTAATATCCTTAACATACCATTAGTGAATGATCATTTTCACCGCGAAATTTCATATTCATAGATTTTTTTTAAACTGTTTATGATGTCATTTGAAGAGTCATCTTTTAAATATAAAATTGATCATTCATCATAGAATTTTGTTTTCCTTTTGATATATATATATATATATATATATATATATATATATATATATATCCATATTTATATATATATATATATATATATATATATATATATATATATATATATATACATATATTTATATATACATTTGATACATATATATATTTACATATCCTCTTCAAGAATTTGCGAACATATATATATATATTTATCTAAATATATATATTTGTATATATTTATATATTATAATATATATATATATCTATATTTAATTATATACATATATATATTATTTATATATATATTCATCTATGTAATATATTTGTATATTAATATATACTATTTTATACATATATTTATCACCATATATATAAATATATATATATATATTTATATATATATATATATATATATATATATATTTGAATTATATTACATCATATTTAAAGATTTCTATATTTATATATATACATTTATATTTATATATATGGCTAATATACTGATTTTATATAAATGTCTAAATATTTATATTTTTTTATACATTACATTTATATATATGTAAATATAATATATATATATTACATATTCTATTTATAATTTATTATATATATATTATATATATATTATATATAAGTATTTAGATATTTATATATATATATATATTTGTATATAATTATATATATATTATTATATATAACATTTATATATAAATATAAAAATATATATATATTGTATATTTATAAAATCCCAATAAAGGTTTCATTTTTTTATATTTTATATATATTATATATTTATTTTTTTATATATATGCTTCTTTCGATCCGATTTTTTTTATAAGATTTATATATCTGAAATTTTAATGGATATTATTTTGAGTAACCTTTGTTTTTCATAAAAAATAGATCTTTTTGTCTAACCATAAATATTCAGAGATTTTAAAAATATTTTCTTGATCCCTTTTGTCAGGAGAAAGCGGCGTTAGGTTAGACGTGTTTATAAATATTCGGCCACGAAAGACATTGCCGATCAAGCAAGGCTGAATGACAGAAAGTAGGCCTATATTTTTCTTTAATAAGTTTTTTCGGATATTTAGGCCGTTAGAAGGAAATATACTGTTTAAATACATAAAAAAAAAAAAAAAAGAACCTGTACTAAAAATATATATATATATATATATATATATATATATATATATGTGGATGACGTTATATATATATATATACTTTACTGTGAGGTGTGTGTGACTGGACTCTGCTGTCAAAGGCAAACCTGGTTAATCAAAATAAATTAATGAAAAAATTCAACTACAGTTGTTGTGCCTTCCATGCCGCGCATTGAGTCCCAGTGTGGAAATTTTTCATCATGCCACTGCTCTAGAGTATGCGGAACAACTAATTGTCTCAAGCGTCACATGAAAGTTCACATTAAAAGCAAAACGGTGTCTATTATCTCAAACAACGCCAATGTTCATGAGTGCCAAATATGCTACAACATATGCAAGTCGCTCTTTGTATCGATTATTGTTAGTTATGTGTACTAATTTATTAAATTAACCCCTTTATTAATGCTGAATCATAGATAGTTTTATTTTCATGAAATATTTTTATATTACTGGAATTAGTTGCACTTTTATTAAGATATATTGCTATATGCTTAAAGATATTAGTTCGGTGATTTAAATTTTTATTTATGTATATGGCATTATTTTTTACTTTCCGATATGATTTGCATGTTGTATTATTAAATGTTATGAAGAGGAAATGTACTATTTTAAATTAGATTCTATATCTATTGTAAATCCCAATTTGTCAAATATTTCTAATATTTGTTTTCTCATATTTTCTGTTTTTCTACCATTAAAATTTCGTACAGATATTAATTATTATATAATCATCTGTATATAAACCAATATCCTTTTGATTAATGTCATTTGATAAATTATCTATGATATATTTCCCTATAAATCCGCATATAAGTGCGCCATCATAACTTTCCATTGATAGACCATAGTTCTCGTTATTATTATTGCTATTCTTTTTCAGTCATATTTATAGTGGTAGCACAATAATTATTTACATCAATGACTAATTAAGTCTAATTCTTCATTTTACAGTTTTATGTGCTGAATTGATAAATTTAATACTTTATGTAATACATATTTGCTATTGAATGTATAAAAGTCATTTATATCTATTTGTATAAAAGAACAATTGTTTTTGTTTGTAATATTGTTGAAACATTTAATAGTTTCTATTGTATTTTTCCATAGATTTATATTTAATATTTTTCTTAATTTCGAAAATATTTTTCTACTATATTTTTACTTATTTTTTCTATGTTTTTTTTTGTAGAATTTAATGATCTACATTTAGGCTCGTTTAGAAAATTATCCTTATGAACTTTTAATTTAATAAATAGTTCTACTTTTATGAATTATTTAATTCTGTTACCTAAGTTTAATTTTCTTGCTATGGTTCTTGCTTCTTATTTATATTATTTTCTGATTCATTGTTGATGGTCTCGTAAAACTTTTGCACTACTTTGTCGATTACTTTGTTATATTTGGTAGGTTACATTTTATAGATTGGTTTTTGATTTGTCTGTTTGAATAAATAGTATATTTGATTTATTTATTGATTTTATGTCATTTGTTAATTGTCTTTGAAATTTACTTTTGTTTTTTTCCTGTTTACTTATATTTACAACATTTATGATAGCATTTTCAAAATTAATAATCTTTTCCTTTTGGTGGACATTTCATTGATAAAAGCCGAATTTACTGTTGTCGTTATTAATATTATTGTTATTGTTGCTAAGAAAGTAAAATACATTCTCTCTTTTTTATGAAGTGCTCAATTTTTCAATAAAATTGATTTTATATTCGTGCACATTTGATGTAGAAATATTTGTAATTAATAATCAAATTGTATATAAAAGACTTTTAACCATTAACAAATATATATTAAATAAAGGATTAAGTTTATCAATAACACAATTAATATATATATATATATATATATATATATATATATATATATATATATATATATATATTTATGTGTATTAGGGCAGCAGATCATTATTTAAACATATATCGTTAAACATAGACAATGAATGTTTTATTACATCTGGTCATGGGCCGTTTTAAAGTCCGTATGTTTGCTTTAATTTCGGGAAAAAATAAAGACAAAAATTGTCAAAAATTTGGATATTTTTATTGAGTTGGTCGTTGACCTAATGTTTTTGCTCATTATCAGCCATCTTCAGAGTGGTTATTGATTCAGACATTTAAACAAAGATATTCACCATCAAAGATGATATTTTGTCATGATGACATAGAAGATTGCTATGCATCGTTCAAAGTTCTAGATGCAGTTTTATGACGTCATACTACGCGAGAGACCGAAATATTAACAACAGAACCACAGGTCTAGATGAAATGAAATAAACTGTGAAAGTTTAAAAATAAATTGTTTTTTCATAAATATAATTTATTGCGTTTAAACTTTAATTAAAGTAAGCATCCAAACGTTAGAACGGCATCATAATCAGATATGATAGACTTTCATTGTCTTTATATTTAATAATATGTGTTTGAATATATATATATATATATATATATATATATATATATATATATATATATATATATATATATATATTATAAGTGCAAGGTCTCTTGTTCCTGGTTCAATCATTAAGATTTGAGGTGTTATCATCCTTGATGATAAAGCTGTAAATTTGCCATTAATATCCTTATGTTTGTCTTCAATCATCTACATTATCCCTGCCTTTTAAATCCCACTTAGAAGGTTTTATATTTATGATATGCATATAACCCCTTCCATGGTCACCAGATTAATCTCTAACCTTGATTCCCACAAAGCATGTAACTGATGGTATCGTAATGATCTTACGGTCAAATCACGTTGAAACACCGGTTCTCGTTCGATCACCGAAGTTAAGCATCGTAGAGCCAGGTCAGTACTTAGATGGGGGGACCGCTTTAACGTTTGTTACCTGGTACTGTAAGCCCCAAAGTCCAACCCTTACCTCACAGTCGGTGGGGGGGTGTAAACGGTAGTGTCAGAGTTTATGCCGCCCGAACTTCGTTCCTGGTAGGGCCACCCAAGGCGGACAGATCTGACACACACGCCGGCTAACAAGGGCTCTGGTGAAAATCCAAGGAGCGTCTGCATCGGTAACCGGCGGCTTCTGGTCGTTCCTGTCTCTGCGTCTGTGGGAACCCCGCGGCAAGCAAGAACGTTATTCGAGTAGGCCTGGGTACCCTACTTCTGTAATTTATCCCAAGAATCTTCTTCTCATAACAGGAAGAAGCCGGCTCAATCCGCCCAGGGTGAATGCCGCATCAGTACAGTATAGCATCCCCTATAAATTTTCATTTTTCATAGGTGTGCTCCTGAACTGTGTATTAATGTTGATATAACACAAATATTCCTGCCTTTGGAAGTTCTCATCTATTGTTCCAGTTTTTAAGAATGCTGACTATCGGCCTTTTTAGAAAAAACCAATTTTTGGGGAAATTCCTAGAACTTGCCCTAATCAATGTTAAACAAAAATATATCTCATCGCAAGAAAAATTTAAAGATATAAATAACAATGGTTTTAAATTTCCCAAATTTTTTCTGCTGATTTAACTGCTGATGTGCAATAATTCTGTCACACTTGCAAAGAGTCTTTAAACGGTGAAACGCGGATGGATACCAGTACATCGCGAAAGTGTTTTTGACAGAGTCTGGCATTTGACATCATATCAAAATTAACTTTAAACAAGGATATAGGACTATTTTTGATCCTACACTTCATTTATTTTAAAATTAAGGATCTTTCAGATGACATCAGCTCAACTAGGCATCTACGGTGACGACACTATAATTTAACATTGCCTCGATAGTAAAATAACAGACTAAAGTCCAATAAGGTAAATGGTATAACCTAAACCGATTTTAATCGTTAACTAAGACAAAAGATGGCTTGTCAATTTTAAAGCATCCAAATATAAAAGAACTATTAATTATCTGAGATTTCCCTATCTGCAAATAATCAGCATTTGAATTTATGTTAAAATGGTATCATTGGTGAGAACATTTTTAACTGATCCAGTCATTCCCAACAAATCGTGAAATGAAAGTTGTCTTGAACGGCCACTCGTCTACATCCATTCGTCCTAACTTTTAATCTTCATTAACTTCCTTCCGCATGATATCAGCTCTAAATTTGTCCTTATATGAAAATATATTTATTTAATCCTCCCTTAATATAGGCCAATCAGTCCGACTAGGTTTGAATGGCATTATCACAAAAAATCTTCAAGAAGGGACAAAAGATGGCTTGTCAATTTTAAAGCCTCCAAAACTAAACTTCTCTCCATTAATCATTTGAAAGACTCCTTTCTGCCTTCCATCAGCATGGAAAAGTGACATGTTGTGCCTTCTTGGGCTGATATTCTCTGCTGACATGAAATTGAAAGACTATATGAAAATGAAATAATCCATTGCTAGTCAGCTAAGAATGTGCTTCCTAACACAAAGGGAAATAGACAATAAAATCTTTGGATTTAAATCTGAAAAAAATATTTCATCCATGCTTAGAATATTTTAAAACATCTATGGTCTTGTGTCCCAATTACCTTCCGCATGGTGGTGGAAAATCCAAAGAAGAATCAGCAATATTATTGGTCCTGATCTAGTGACTCGGCTTAAGTCTATTACTCACTGCCGTAAGGCTGCAACTGTGCTTTTTTTTATAAATACTTTCAGGGTATCTGTACGAGATCGTTGCTATGTTACCTAGAGTCTATGGATTTGAGCAAAATAACCTTTATATTGTTTATAGATCACATTATTTTACAGTTGAGCTAGCTAGATGTATATATATATGCTAACAGTTTTTTTTCCTCTCGGTTGTGGAACTCCCTTACAACTCCATGTATTCCAGCCAACTTTAATTATTGTAAGAATTTTTAATGTCAAACACTATTTATCATTGAAAGAGAATGTTTTTAACTTTGTACTATGAATGTTTCATATATATATATATATATATATATATATATATATATATATATATATATATATATACCTTATATATATATATATAAATTAACTAAAAATAAAATATGTTTTTTCTGTCGCGACACAGTTCGAGCCATGTTTAAAAAATGGAAATATTAAGTTTAGAATTTAATATGTAATTAAATTTAAAGACGTTTGTCCCATTTAAAGTTGAAGAATTTTGATAACTTATTTTTAAATTTCCATTTTTGAACATGGTTAGAATTATGTAGATGAAAATCATTTTTAAAATCAGAAATTTATAATATTCATGCTTGAAACATATATTATTTATATATAAATTTAAATATATGATGTATATTATATATTTATACATTTATATAATTCCATATATAATATATTATATATATATATATATATTTATATATATATTTATATATTCTTATAATCATACAATCGATAAGATTTAGATAATATAAGATTAATAACAGCTCCGCTCAACACTAAAAATGTTTCTGGCATTTAAAGAATGATGTTAATACGCCTTTTAATAACTGGGATGTTGGAACGTGAACCAAAACTTATAACTAGAAAGGAAATTTATGTAAATTATGTATAATTGAAACATTGGTATTCTTAAAACGCTAAATAACCCCAGCTTAGTAAACATGAGAAATAAATTGATGGTTACGTCAAATATATTTTTAAATTACAAAAACTGTAATCCCGTAAATATATAACTGCATCAGTATTATTGATAATCAACCATTTTTAAAAATTCAATTAGGCAACGGTCACTTTATACTGGTATTTCATTTTTGGCACACACACACACACACACACATTCACACACACACACAATATATATATATATATATAATATATATATATACATATATATATATATATATATATATATATATATATATATAAATATATATGTACATATATATATAAAAACTAAATATGTACATATATATATTGATAAATATATATATATATATATAATATATATATATATATAAAATATATATATATTATATATATACATATATATAAATATATATATATAAATATTATATATATACATCACTATATATACATAAATAAAAATACATATATAAAATACATATATATATATATATATATATATATATATATACATATATATAAATACATATATATATTTTTATATACATTAATATATAAATATATATATTTAAATATGTATGTATTATAAATAATATATCATTTATATTATAGTATATATAATATAAATATATATATATATATATATATATATATATATATAATATAATATATATATTTATATATATACATATATATAAATATAAATATATATATATGTATATATATAAATATATATATATATATATATATAAATATATATATATATATATATATATAAATATATATATATATATAAATATATATATATATATATATATATATATATATGATATATATATATATATATGATATATATATTTATATATATAAATATATATATATAAATATAAATATATATATATATATATATATATATGGATATATATATATATATATTTTATTATATTATTAAATATATATCAAATTTACGGATGAGTTTTTGACTATTCGTATTATAAATAAAAAAAATTACCATATATGATGTATATATTTTTGTTCCCTTTAGTAGATATACTAATTGCCACAATGTCATGTTTATATTGACGAATGTTTAAATTGGAAAACATATATATAAAATATATATAATTTAAATTACATGTTCGAATGATTAGAAATATCTGCTTTATGATACATAAAGTCATATATATTTAACTCACCAAAATCGATTTTTTAAAAGGAAGGTGTTAGGTCTTGATATTATTGGTCTGGAGGAGGCGATCTCAGATTGAATAAATCTATTGGTAAGTGCCTGAAAACCATTCCACCGGTTGACCCAAGATTGTGAATATTGGGTAGACGGAATTTGGGATGCCTTTTAATGGCTGTGTTAAACACGAATGGCTCAAATCATCGTGACCGAGGATTTGACTGTGCTGGCCTTGATCAGATTGATGATCCAAGCGAGATAACAAGCTTATCCCAGAAACTTAAACTATAATGTCTGTTCAGCATATTTGCAGGATAAACCACAGTTTGGCTCTGTAGGTGTGAACAAAACACAAATGTACCTGAGCTGGCGTCTGCAATGAGGATTACCCAGCCCCCAGAAGATGGATATCATGAATAATATATATATATATATATATATATATATATATATATATATATATATATATATTTATATTAATGAAGGAAGACAGTATAAGTTGTTCCAACGAGAGAAAAGAGTATGTATTAAAAAGAGAGAATGTTTAGCATCGAAAAACTTAAGGAAAATTAATTCATTTTAATAATATGTAGAAATATCCACTCCTTGTCTGAAGAAGAAAGCGAGATCTGAAACACGTGTTGCAAAATTATGGAAAATAAATTATAATATATATATTTTTAAAAAGCCACATGATAACCAAAAACGTTTCTCTCTTCTTTTTAATATATATAACAAACTCATATCCATAAAACTTATTATGCTAGCTCTATCACTGTTATTGAGCGCTTTCAACTAAGTATCGCGCATATCAAACAATATATATATATATATATATATATATATATATATATATATATGATTAATTTTTGTTTGAAATTAAATTTCATTGCAATAACTGTTTACTGTATGGAAAAAGCTAATTGATTTGTTGTTTTTTTCCCTTTTTTGTTTCTTTTGTGAATAAACGCAAAGAATCTTTTTATTTTAAGAGAAACAAAAGCTGAAATGAAGGCTTCGCAATGGCAATGAGTTTAATTTTACTGAAAGTAAGCTCTCCCGCCAAATTGAATTAAGATTGGTACATAGATGATGATGATGGGAAAAGAAACGTTCTGGGAAGAAGAGAA